GAGGAGTGATGAGAGTGAGCATCCTTGTCTTGTTTTCAGAGGGAATGCTTTCAACTTTCCTCATTCAGTATTAGGTTAGCTGTGTGTTTGTCATAGATAGTTTTATTACACTGAGGTATATCCTTTGTGTGCCAGTTTTGCTGAGAGTTTTAATCATAAAGTGATGCTGGATTTTGTTGAATGCTTTTCTGCATCTGTTGAGATGATCGTTTGATTTTGGATTTTAGATCCTAACTTAACGTGCAGGTTAAGCACTTGAGTGGAAAGTTAGGACCTATGATCAGGGATTATTCTCAAAGATAGACCAGGATAGAACATATGTTAGGCCACAAAACAAGTCTTCAGACATTCAAAAATTGAAATAATATCAAGTATCTTCTATGACCACAATGGAATGAAACTAAAAATCAGTAACAAGATAAAATTTGAAAACTATACAAACACATGTAAATTAAACAATGTGCTCCTGAATGACCAATGGTCAATGAAGAGCTTAAGAAGGAAATTGAAAAATTTCTTAAACAAATGATAATGGAAACACAACATATCAAAACCAATGGGATACAGCAAAGGGAGTACTAAAAGAGACGTTTATAACTCTAAGTGTTTACATCAAAAAAGAAGAAAAACTTCAAATAATCTATTATGCAACCTCCAAGAGCAAACCAAACCCAAAGTTAGTAGAAGAAAGGAAATAAAGATCAGAGCAGAAAGAAAGGAAATTAAAATAAAGAAAGCAATACAAAAGCTCAACAAAAGAAAAAGTTGTTTTTTGAAAAGATAAACAAAAATGAGAAACCTAAACAGACTAAGAAAAAAAGAGAGAAGACCCTGATAAATAAAATCAGAGATGAAAAAGGAGACATTGCAATTGATACTGCAGAAATTCAAAGGATCATTAGAGGCTACTGTGAGCAACTATATACCAATAAATTGGAATACTTAGGAGAAATGGACAAATTCCTATGTGCATGCAACCTACCAACATTGAACCATGAAGAAACCAAAACCTTAATAGATCAATAACAAGTAATGAGATTGAAACCATAATAAAAGTCTCCCAGCAAAGAAAAACCTGGGACCTGATGGCTTTACTGTTGAATTCTACCAAACATTGAGAGAAGAACTAATACCAATTCTGCTCAAACTAATCCAAAAAGTAGAGGAGGAATGAATAATTCTAAACTCATTCTATGAGGCCGGTGTTACCCTAATACCAAAACCAGATAAAAATGCATTAAAAAATGAAAACTACAGGCCATTATCCCTAATGAATATTGATGCAAAAATCCTCGACAAAATATTAGCAAGCCAAATTCAGCAACACATTAAAAAGATCATCCATCATAACCAAGTGAGATTTATCCCAGGGATGCAAGGATGGTTTCTTCTGTATTTAGAACACAACAAAGATGCTCATTTTCTCCACCGTTATTCAACATAGTACTGAAAGTCCTAGCTAGAGCAATCAGAGAAGAGGGAGAAATAAGGGGCATCCAAATTGGGAGGGAAGAAGTCAAGTTATCCTTGTTTGCAGATGATATAATCTTATATTTGGAAAAACCTAAAGTCCCCATCAAAAAACTATTAGAACTGATAAACAAATTCAGTCAAGTGGCAGAATACAAAATCAACATACAAAAATCAGTAGCATTTCCATATGCCAACTGCAAACAACCTGAAAAAGAAATTGAGAAAATAATTCCATTTCAATAGCTACAAATAAAATTAAATACCTAGGAATTAACCAAAGAAGTGAAAGATCTCTACAAAGAAAACTGTAAAACACTAATGAAAGATATTAAAGAGAAAAATGAAAAGATCTTTCATGTTCATGGATTAGAATAATCATTATTGTTAAAATGGCCATACTTCTCAAAGCAATCTACAGATTCAGAGCAATTCCTATCAAGAATACCAATGACATTCTTCATATAAATAGGAAAAAAAATCCTAAAATGTATATGGAGCCAGAAAAGACCCAGAATAGCCAAGGCTATCCTAAGCAAAAAGAGAAAAACTGGAGGAATCACATTACCTGACTTCAAATTATACTACAGAGATATAGTAACCAAAACAGAATGGTACTGGCATAAAAACACACATTGACCAATGGGACAGAAGAGAGAACCCAGAAACAAATCCTTATATTCACAGTAAACTCATTCTTGAAAAAGTACCAAAAACATGCAATGAGGAAAGGACAGTCACTTCAATAAAAGGTTCTGGGAAAGTTGGGTATCCATATGCAGAAGAGTGAAATTAGACCCCTATCCCTTGCCATATGGAAAAAAAAAATCAAATCAGAATGGGATTAAAGAATTAAATCTAAGACCTCAAACTGTACAACTACTACAAGAAAACATGAAGGAAACTCTCTAGGACATTGGACTGGGCACAGATTTCTTGACTAATATCCCAAAGGAAACTCTCTAGGACATTGGACTGGGCACAGATTTCTTGAGTAATATCCCACAAGCACAGGCAACCAAAGCAAAAATGAACAAATGGGGTCACATCACATGAAAAAGCTTCTGCACAGCAAAGGAAACAATCAACAAAATGAAGAGACAACCCACAGAATGGGAGAAAATATTTGCAAATTATCTATCTGACAAGGGATTAATAACCAGAAAATATAAGGAGCTCAAACAACTGTATAGGAAAAAATATAATAATCCAGTTTTAAAATGGGCAAAAGATCTAAATAGATATTTCTCAAAGATGACATTACAAACCACAAACAGGTATATGAAAAGGTGCTCAATATAATTAATCATCAGAGATATGCAAATCAAACTACAATGATATATCATCTCACTCCAGTAAAAATGGCTTTTATCCAAAAGACAAGCAATAACAAATGCTGGCAAGGATGTGAAGAAAAGAGAACTCTTGTACACTGTTGGTGGGAATGTAAATTACTATAGCCACTATGGAGAAGAGTTTGGAGGTTCCTCATTAAAAAATATATATAGAGAGAGAGAGCTACCATATGATCCAGCAATCCCACTGCTAGGTATATACCCAAAATAAAGGAAATCAGTATATCAAAGAGATACCTGCACTCCCATGTTTATTGCAGCACTAGTCACAATGGCCAAGATTTGGAAGTAACCTAAGCATCCATCAACAGACAGATAAAGAAAATATGGCATGTATACACAATGGAATACTATTCGGCCATTAAAAAGAATGAGAGCCTATCATTTGCAACAACATGGATGCAAATGGAGCTCATTTTGTTAAGTGAAATAAGCCAGGCAGAGAAAGACAAACTTCACATGGTCTCATTTATTTGTGGAAGCTAAAAATTAGCAGTTGAGCTAAAATAGAGAGTAAAATGATACCTACCTACCAGAGTATGAGAAAAAGTGGAGAAAGTGAGCAAGGAGAGAAGTGGAGATGGTTAATGGGTACAAAAAAAAAAAAAAAAAAAACAGAGTGAATAACATCTAGTATTTGAAAGTACAACGGGTGACTATAGTCAATCATAATTTAATATTACATTTTTAAATAAGAGTATAATTGGATTGTAACACAAAGGTTAAATGCCTGAGGTGATGGATACCTCATTTACCCTGATATCATTATTACATATTGCATGCCTGTATCAAAATATCCCATGTACCTCATAAATATATATGCCTACCATGTACCTACAAAAATTAAAAATTATTAATAAATTGTTTAATTTAAAAAAACAAGGATGCCCACTTTTGCCACTTCTATTCAATATAGTAATGGAAGTCCTTGCCAGAGCAGTTAGACAAGAGAAAGAAATATAAGGCATCCAAATAAGAAAGGAAAAAATGAAATTGTTGCTGTTTGCTGACAACATAATCTTTTTTTTAACATAAT